TGTAGATTTTCTTTGAGAGACCAAAGTCTGCGACACACACACACACACACACACACAGCCTGACACACACACACACACACACACACACACACACACACACACACACACACACACACACACACACACACAGGTCAGTGAGTGTGGAGGAAAACACTCAGACACAATACAAACCAACCGCTGCTTCTGGAGTGATGCTGCAGCAGCGGCGTTGATCAGTGGCAGTCTGTCATGGAAACCCTGAATTTACACTTTTAGCTGCTACTGTTCAATGTTTTCCACCTTATTCACGATAACAAGTTCTTCTCTCTCATCACTCCCCTCACTGTTTGTGTATGGGTGGGGGCAGGGCCTGTGTGAGTGTAAACTCTGCCTCGCTATAATACACGTACCTAAATGTTTGCACTAGTGCGACCAAGGAAAAAGTTTTGTTGCACTTCACATATTTTCGGTTGCATGTGGTCACACTCTGGGGCCCTGTAGATAATTATTTAGTTCGGCTGCACAATAATGTCGTAGAAATTATTGTAACTTTAAAACTGCGAAATCACGTTAGATCACATCAAATAGTATATAATCTCTGGTATTATATAACCTTTTTGTATATGATCTCTGGCTGTATGTAACTTTTTTAGTATATAATCTCTGGCTGTATATAACCTCTGGTTGTATATAACCTGTGGCTGTATATAATGTAGGTCAAAGCAGTGTTTATGGGTGTATTTGCTGCCAGCTGATTGGTGGACACACTCACATGCAGTTTCGGGCGGCGAGGTCTCTGTGGATGATGTTCCTGCTGCTCAGGTACTCCATCCCCCGAGAGATGTCCAACATGAACTGGACCAGTGTGTGCAGAGACAGGTCCTGATGGAGTGGACAAGAGGACGAGGTCAGGACAGACGTCACCAAAGAATGATACAATTGTAAAATGACACAAATAACAGCAACAGCTCCACAAACATCCAACACAGGAAACGACTCATTTCGACATCTGGATCACCCCCTAGTGGTGGATAGGTCACATCGTCTTTATATACAGATGCATGTGTGTCTTAAGGGGTGTGGTCTACACGTAGGGGTGTGTTCTGTGGATGGGAGTGTGTTCTTACAAACGGCTGCTCTCCCAGTCTGGACAGCAGCAGGAAGGTGTGCATGTCTCCATGTTTCATAAACGGAAGAACCACCATCGGGATGGGTAGACGCTGACCTTGACGCCGGTGAAGACTCACTCCTAATAGACAGGACAAACTGTCAATCAAAGTGTCTGACCTTTGACCCCTGCTTAACGTGCCTGTATGTGTTACCAATGAGCTGGATGACGTTGGGGTGATGAAAGTCCTTCATGTTGGCCGCCTCCTTCAGACACTGCTCGATGTCACCTGACGAGGTGATGTCAGCTGGGGGACCAAACACATTAACACACACTTAATACACTTTTCGTCCCAACAAGTCAACACAAACCCAAAGAAGACGAACGTCTCACTCACATTTGAGAACTTTGACAGCCACTTTCTGGACAGACGTGTCCTCTGCCTTCAGGAAGGCCTCACGCACCGAGCCAAACTCACCTGCACAGATACATACACACTTATACCAGTGAGTATTTAACTTCTACTGTTGTGTGTTTGTTGTGTACAGAATGTTGTGTTACCTTTCCCCAGCATGTGTCCCAGTGTGATCAGCCTCTCTGGAATCAGGACGTCCTGCAGTTTATTCTTCAGTTCATTGTTTATACCCAGACTGTCCACTGGAGGGAGACACACATACACAAGTAGATTCAGTGAAAGTTGTTTCAGGTGAACATCACCTTGACTTTTTACACAGATGTAACAACAGGTCTCACACACTGACGCTGTGGGTCATCACAGCTGCTGTGACATGTGGAAGACAGACTCATGTTTCCACGTCTATACTCAGGCGGATGATGTGATTGGCTGACGAGCAGCAGGTAAACACAAACCTATTGGGTGCGGGTGTTTGTGTTGAGTATAAACAGACTGAAGGACGTCCAGCACAGACCACTCACATGTCGACTCGTGCACAGCACAGTTTCTGCTGAAGGAGCGAGCGGCGGTGAAGGAGACGGAGCTCTCAGCACCTGGAGGCTTCAATGCCCACCTGAGGACAGACGGACACACACATGTTATGTGATGTGTTTGTCCGAATCTCAACACCTTCCCCCGCTCTGTGATAAATTAACATCTCTTCCAGAGTATCCTACCCAAACTGTGTCTCTTTCCCCCGGCGGCGGGCGATGGCGGCGAGCAGCAGGCCCACCACGGTGGCCACCAACAGGCCGAGCAACAGGCCGACCCACATGTGACTCCGCTGGACCTGGACCTGCACTGAGGGACCAGCAGAGAATCAATGAGTCAACAATAAGTCAATCAATACACACAAGCTCAGTGTTTTATATCAAATATATACGTGTGTGTGTGTGAGATCATTGAGGCAAGGCGGAGTCACTGAAATCCTGGCACAGTGGTTATTTTGGTTTTATAATGTTCATGCAGGTGCAGATCTCTTAATAGGAGAAAATAATTCCTTCCTGATGAGTCGAGCATACATATAAAAACAAACATACACACAAAGACAGTGTAGTGTACCTGAGGCCGGCAGCACAAGGACTGGGGGACTCCAGGGTCCACAACCCACTGAGGTGCAGGCCGACACCTGGAAGGAGGCGTTAAAAAAACGTCCTCCTCCTGAGAGCTGAGCCCAGTTCTCCTTAAACAGCAGAGGCTCCTGAAAACACACAGCAGGACATGAGACACCAGGACCATGTCTAGATCCAGGACCAGGTCCTCTCACCCTGCTTGCCTTCAGGTAAGTAAATGTGCAGTGGCCATCATTAACTGACAGAAGTTGGTAACTGGGTTTCAGCTTTAACCCATGAGAATCACCTGACGTTCTCTCCCCAGGATCCACTGCACCTTGTAGGCCAGCAGGTTCCCCTGCAGCTCGTCCTCCTGGAGCTTCGCCCAGTTCAGACTCAGCTGCTGCTCCGACAGGACTAAGGTCAGGTTCCTTGGGGCTGCAGAGGGAACTGCACACAGGTCATACGTGACATTACAGATAAGTGACATTACAGGAGAATGTCACTGATGACATCAGATTGGGAATATCTGATGTTTCCATGGTAACCAGGGTTGACCTGTTACCAAGGCAACAACCAACAGGGATTCATCACAAAAAAAATCACCAGTTGATAACTTTGTTAATAGAACAGCAGCCTCATTAAAAACAACCCATGACGCTGTCGCCTGCTGAAAAAGAAGAAAGTAAATCAGAGGAGATTCTGGTCCACGTGTTTTAAAACATCATGGAAGCTGGAGAGGAAGTGGCGTTCCACCAGCCAAGATGATTTTCACCTGGCCTGGAACAAGAAAGCCAGAAGCTCCTATTATTCATATTAGTCACACCTCCACTGACCCATCTATTCCTAAAAAAATTATTTCATGAACTTCTTCACAAATCAAATTCTAACCATCAGGGAAACAATCCACCGCATGACCAGATACATTGTCCTGTCCTGAAACCACAGAACCTCCTGTAGCACCAGATTATATTTGAACCATTTCTCGTCAATTGATCTTCTGAACTGACGTCACAAGTTTCATCCTCTAACCAAAAACGTAGTCGTCAGAGCTGCTCATTGTGGGAACTGTTGGTTTCTCTATAACTTTAAGGTCTTGACCTTATTATGTAAAGAGACTTGAGATGATGTTTATTATGATTTGGTTCTATAAAAGTGAAACTGAAGTGAATAAATCTGTCAACAACAGCTGATTGTAAAGAGACTGAAACCCACAACACACACTCACCTGTAGTGTTTACTAATGTCATTGATAACAACACATTGAAGATGAGGGTTGATTATTACTCACAGTCTCATGTGGACTAAACTGTCTTAACGCTCAAACCTCAGCTGAGGTATTGGTTGTTTTCAGATGAAAAAATACATTTTGACGTGTTCAGGTGTGACATCACCTGACTCACCTGACTCTGGTGTCTGGAAGTGCAGCCAGGGGGAGAAAGGAGACACCCCCACCTCATTCACACAGGAAACCCTCACACTGTAGTTGGAGTGACTCCTCACACCTGACAGGACAAGGAGGTGAGGAGGAACCAGAACCTTCTGCTGAGGGAGGTCCCGCCTCCTAAAGGACCGCGTCAACAACTGAGGGGGGGGGGGGGTACAGGTTGTAATCAGCTAACTCACAGAGAGTGTGTGTGTCTGCGTGTGTGTCTGCATTACCTGGATGATGCAGGTGGACAGCTCAGAGTGACCTGTGAATCCTGGTTTCCATGACAACGTGATGTTGTTATCCACCATCCTCAGGATTTGGAGTCCGACTGGAGCAGCCGGCAACACTAAACCCCGCCCCCCCCCCAGAGGTATGGTCCTATAAGAGCTGAGCGCCAGTAGCTACAGGTCTGAACAACAGGTGATGCTCTACCTGGAGGTCCAAGGCTACAGCCCCAAAATAATTTTTATATGTATGTGTGGCGCTAACAGAAGCTAACAGACACTAAACGAGGCTAATAGATGCTAGACGACACTAACAGAAGCTAACAGA